AAGTCTTGTAACGTCTCGAACATTGTGCAATGATTGTTTCCTTCTGGTCCACGTCCCTTCCGTTATTTCTTGCCGCTGCCAGATAGCTATGTTCAAATGATAGTCTGCCACAAAAGCCCGAGGAAGAGTCAGACCTCGCTAGAACTTTGTCCAGGCTTGAGGTTTGTTGTCCAGTCTGGCTGGTTATGGGTTCCTCTCGCGAGTTGGATTCCTAATTAGGTCCAGCGGCTATTGTTTGTTATTAATCCAGTGAATGGGCTGATCCCATTGATGGGGTGATCCGTTGATGGGCTCTATTTTAATTCAGTTTTGGGCCATGGTTGTAATACATGGTACCATCACGAGCCCCCTCTCTAAAATCAGTCGGTCTTGATTTTATGAGAGTAAAAGATTTCGAACATAATGACAAACATGTGCTCTTAATCATTAGGTTGAAAATCAATAACCTCGCTCATTAAGGATGTTTTCTTTTGGACTGTTTTCAGTCCCAGACCAGACCAGACCAGACTTAAACAGACCAAACCATACCAGACCATACTTAAACAGACCAGACCAGACCAGACCAGACTTAAACAGACCAGACCAGACCAGACTTCCGTAGTTATAAAATACACAGAGACCAGACCAGTTCAGACCAGACCAGACTTAAACAGACCAGACCAGACCAGACTTAAACAGACCATACCAGACCAGCAAATTTCAGTCCAAAAGAAAACATCCTAAAACTTAGCAAACCAAGACAATCATTGAAACCACAATGTTTACCTCTACCACATGTGATGAACAAGGGTGTGGCCCGTTATTAGTCACATTCTATTGTTGATTCTCCCGACAAGGAGGACACTTCTCGGCTCCTCTTTTTCTTGATCTCCACTCCATGGACAATTGAACTCAAAAATCTTCTATCACCATGGGCCGAAATCATGGTAAGAGGACCCTAAGAATAACTAGTAGGAAATGCCACCCCATTTGGATACTCCTGCTATTATTAGAGCATCTTTAATGGGGCTTTGGATTCTAAAACATGCACGGCCACGTAAACTAAACTGAGGAAGAAGTAAAAATTTCTTCTCCAACGCGAATGTGTATATCAAAAGTGAGGATGAGGTGGAACGCACACTGTCAACACATGTGCCTATTTTCAGAAGGCCTCCAAGAAAGGATGACTCAGCAAATTATGATTTTAATTCTTTTTTTTTGCAGCAATACGTAATATGCCGCCGAACGTGAACAAAGGTTTCTTCTCCCCTGCTTGAACGGACGCTGTATTATCTTTGTAATTGACATTAGCGACGATCACTTCTTTCCAGAAGTGTACGTAGTAGGCCTTCGTAGTCATGCCGTGACTGCCGTCACTCCGGACTCTCAGTTGAAGGCCGCCGCCGCCCGCCCGCCCGCCGTCGTGCATAAAATGACAGTCTCAACCCGGTCCTTGTTATAGAAATTGCTCTGAATTTGAATTTGTAGGGTGAAGGTATAGCGTGCATTTCCGGCAATCTCTTTATGTTAAATGAATGAAGGAATATAGCGTGCATCAAAAACTTTTTGTAGGTCACATTATAATTTGATGAACGGTTATTATGAGACTAAACCAGTTATTTATATATGTATATTCTCATGGTGTTATATTACAGTGTTGAAACAACCTGCCGAAGCAACAACCGAATCCCCTCGGCAAGAAATGACGCTGCCGAAGCCGGTGGTCCTGGCTTTGCCGGCGTTCCCATAATCATCAGCAGCAGCATGACGGCCTTATTCTCCTTCGATCTCAAGCAACAATTCTTCAAATCCGAAGAGGCAGCAGAAAGCGACGACGAATGATGGCGTCATACGGCAGCGCCGTTCCTCCTCCTCCTTGCGAGATCTGCTGTGTGATGATGCAGCACCATGCTGCAGGGGCGTGCGATGGCCGGAAACTTGGGTGGTGGAGTTTAGGGTAGATTGAATTTGTTGGGTGAAGACATCTGACCGTGATAATTGTAACAATTGTTTTTTCACAGTAATGGTAAAACTGTAAAAGCTGTTGAGCAAAACAAAACGAGATAGAAAGTTAGAGCATCTCCAATGCTGCAATGTGCATGGTGCACATGTGGCATGAGAGAGATAGACACAAAATATTGATTTTATAACATTTCTCTTTCCTTCTTTCCACAGTCTTATGCGTTTTTGGTAAGTTTGTGTCTGCAATGTCAACCACAATGTCTACATCTAGACATTGTGCTTGACATTGTGAAGAAAAACTTACCAAAATGATGTAAGATCCTTCAAATAAGGGGAGAGATATTCTATTTATTGATTTTTAATTGGTTGTTTCTCATGCCACGTATGCACCGTTAACGTTTTAGCATTGAAGATGCTCTTACAGGCGCGTTGGAGAACAAAGTATTTATTTAAGGTGACAACTCCGGTACCTATTTAAAAAATGGGGTACCGTACCTACCATTCAATTGATTGGTTCACATCATGATATCATTTTTAATTTAGATTTAAATAATTCAACTACAACATTCTCATTAGACCGTGTAGACAAAGGTATGGTACCTTATGGGTACCATAAAATCTACCTTTATTTAAATGTGTATTTGTCCAAGTCAGTCCACATCCTAATTCATGCCTCTTTATAGGATGTTTTCTTTTGGACTGTTTTAAGTTCCAGATCAGACCTGACCAGACCAGAGTTCCGTAGTTATAAAATAAACAGGAATCAGACGTTTACCAGACCAGACCAGACCAGACCAGCAAATTTCAGTCCAAAAGAAAACATCATGTGGACATTAAAAAATATTTGAAAGCTTATGATATTCATTAGGCTTCTTTCAAATGCTATCAGGCTACTTCGACTTTATTGAGCCTCCTTTGAATGCTATTGGGCCAATGTTCAATTCTGTTGGGCCGCTCGTGATCTCTTTGAGTCTTAAAAAAAGTAGTGATATGGACCAATTGAGAAGAATTTAGTGATTAAATTAATTTGGATTATTTAAAATGTCCAATTATTATTTTAATCATAAATTTAGTCTTTAAAAGAATGAACCGGTCCTATTAATTTCCCTACTTTTGAGCCCATTATCAAATAACGGCTCAATATATAAGAGGCATGATCCAATTGACAAAGAGAGCGACGAATCTTGTTACGAAATTTATCCATATGCAAGAGAAATAGCTCTGAACTTTGTTAAAAAGGCTATCCAGATACATCAAACAAGTGCTGATTTTTGTAGCTATTAAATACAAGCAAATAGAGCCCAAAGCCCATTTTAATTGGGGACCAAATGATATGGACGAATTTTGGGAACCCTAAAGCATATTTCACCCCCTCCACACCTATAAATAGGGGTCTCTGTTGAGAGGAAGGGAGAAAGAACTTTCAGACGAAGAAACGCTGCGACAAAGCTCTGAAGAACTCCCAAGAGGCTCTTAACGATTCTGAAAAAGAGGAAGAGATCAAGCCACAAATTTTATTAAGAATATACGAATAATCCTTTGTTATTTCGTTCATTCTTGATAAAATAAATTCAAAAGTTGAAGAACGTTCGAAGATCTGAAGAGCGAAGCTTGAAGATTCGAAGATCCGAAGAACAATGCTTAGAAGATTCGAAGACATGAAGAACGAATCTTTGAAGATATTCATATGAAGATTGAATTAAAATTCAATTGAAAATCAAGCCATATATCTCGGGAGGCCCTTAAACAGAAGATCAAGCCACATAATGGTCCTTTTGTTGAAGATCAAGCCACTTGAAAACCGGAGGCCCTTCAAGCTGAATTCTTTATTCAAGAAGATTTGAAAATCCGAAGAACGAATATTCGAAGATCTCAAGAACGAAGATTCGAAGATCAGATCGAAGAACGTTCAAAAGTTTGAAGGATTAGAGATTTAATTTTAAATTAAATTCTCTAATTATATTACTTCAAATTGCAAGTGAAGAATCAGAAGATTCATATTTAGAGATTGTACCCTATATTCTCATATATTATTATTAGCGATCAATTTTAAGCAAATACTTTAAAATTTGTTTCACACATCCTAAACAGTGATGTGTCCACATTCGAAGTCCTACAATCCACATTTCTATTGGAGATGCTCTTATAACGAGTACTGGTATTATTTTATTACGTGGTATGGAGTATTATTATGATTATGTGAGATATCGTGAGGTTTTAATTTCTTCAATTATGTGAGGAGTCCGTTTGGTAACACTAAAATTGACTGTATTGGTTGATTCTGCTGAAATTTGTGAAATTCTTACTGAAATGGCTGTATTGGCTGATTCTGCTGATTCATGAAAAAAATTATATTTAAAATATCTTTTATTAATAAATAAAATAAAAAATTATATGAAAAAATAGCTAAAATGATCCTCTACAGTAACTTCAGCCAATACAGCCAGAAAAGTAACTCTAACCTTACTTTTTCTGCTTATTACACAATTCAGCGCGCGAAATCTAAAATTATGTGTTTGGTGAAAAAGCTGACTGATAAGCCTGATAAGCCGAAAAGGGGGTCACCAAACGGGCTCCCCATAGGGGTTTGACTCATTAAGGGTTGGTTTGCAACTCCTTTTAAAAAAGTACTTCTCAGCTTTTGGCTTTAAAAAAGCACTTATTTTCCTAAACACTACAACTTTTATTTTTCTCGGCTTCCGCGTCAAAAGTGCTTTTACTTTTTCTATTACACAAAAAGCACTTATTTTACCAAACACTACCCACTTTTACTTTTCAAATCACTTTTTTCTCAAACACCATCAACTTTTATTTAATCACTTCTCTCCATTTCATTAAAAAAACACTTTTTAAAAGCATAAGCTGTTGCAAACAGACCCTAAAAGGCTAAAACATAAAAAGGTTAAATGAGTATGGAAAAGAAAGGAAAAGCAAACAGGGGGGCCTTGGAGCAGGGGCGGCCATAGGCCCAAAAATTGAAGAAAATAAACCCAGATTTATGTCTTTGTATTAGTGGGCGGCTGATTTTGTCCATTCCAGCCGGCCCAATACCCAAGATACCGAAAAGTTGAGTAAATTGGGAGTATTACAAACGGCCTTAACAGAGAAAGTGAAAATGGAGATTTCTTCAGCCTTCGACATCGACGAGACGACGAACCGAACGCCAAGGAAGAACTACGAAAGAACGCCGGCTCGCTGACCGCGGACCCGCCTGTCGCGCTTACCTTTCGTCCATCTCGGCTTCTCGACTCTCGCCCTTCTCGGCTTCTCAGTCCAGCCTTTTGACGCCTGGTACAGTAGTGTGCCGTGCTTACAGTCATCCAGCGGAGTCACCCTCAGGCTTCACCGCTTCAGACTTCAGCCTTCAGGGCTTCAGGTATTCCTTCAGGAATCGCACACTAAATTCATATTCTTAATTGTTGATTGTTATCGAGTATTGATGTTATAATTTATTGATTTAGAGAAAATATATAAGTTGACCCCCATTGTCCGCATTACTGCCCCACCACCAAAGATGGAGACATGCACATTAAGATTGAGTCCATAGCTAGGTTTGATCCACAATGCAAGCTTAGGTTTGAGGTTCCAATTAGGAATCAAATGCTTCTCAAATAGCTTAAAGCTAAATTTAGGATATTTGGACCCTTGTAAACTTTGGACTAAAGAATCATATATGGTTCATGAAAACCCGGATGCGAATTTTAAGAGGGGGTTAATTAGGTGAAGTCTAAAAATGTGTGTTTCAAAAATGTGTGTTTTAAGTAAATTTTTTATTTCCTTTAAAAAAAAGTAATTTTTTTTATTTTGAAATTGTGATTCTACTATGTTTATGTTATGAAGTTTAGTCTTTTCATTATTATAAACATCTTGAAATATTATTTGTATGCATGTTAATTTAGAAAGTACGTAGTATTTAGTAAGAAAATATTTGATCTTGTTTTAAAACTTTATCGATGTTTTGATCAAATATTGAGAAATTTCTAAAAAGGATATGTAGTCTTCTTTCCAATTTGATACATTTTAGACGCGATTTGATAAAAGTTATTTCATCCTTCAAATTGACAAATAGCGCCCCGAATCTGTGCAAACTGCGATGCAGAATCGTCGTAGCGTTGCAAACTGCAAGCCCATCCTCCATCGTGAGCCTTGCCTCTGTTTTATTTCAAAAGTACTCCTCTACAGTTATGTTGAACTCTTGGTCCAAGATGGCAATTCAAGTTGGAGAATCTATTCTATTTTGTTGGGATTGAAGAAAAGACTTGAAGTTGTAGAGAGTTATTAACACTTTCATTTACGATTTATTTTTTATTTTTGGCAGGTTTACTAGTTTTGGGCCCATGATTCTATGTTTCGTTCTAAGTTTCTAACTGTTTTAATGTTACTTGAACCCATTTTTTACCTATCCGCTATGCTTCCACTATTTATAACAAGGCTACCTGCTATGCTTCCACTATTAACAACAAGGCTATCCGCTATGCTTCCACTATTTACAACAAGGCCATCCGCTATGCTTCCGTTATTTACAATAAGGCTATCCGCTATGCTTCCACTGTTTACAAATTACAACAAGGCTATCCGCTATATTTAAATCATTTTAATGTATTCAAAGCGTTTAAGAAATCTAATAGTACATTTTAATTTACAACAACATCCAAACCTTAATCCCAAAAAATTTTGGGGTCCGCTAAATTGAATCGATCCATGATATTGATGCCAAAAAGAGAAGACAGACAAGAAGGGAAAAATGATAGGGAAAAAGGAAATTAGTAATCCAACATTTAAGCGGTCTTCTTACATTAGTCCCATCTTTTCGTTATTCATGAATAATCCAACCTTTGCACCTTATCTTCATTCACTGGTCCCTGACCGGTTCATGACCTGTTATTCCAAGTTATTTTCTTATCTCTGCAAACCATTATACCATAAATCCCACCTTTCACAAAGATAATATTTTGCAGAGATAAGAAAATAATTTGGAATAGCAGGTCATGAACCAGTCAGGGACCAGTGAATGAAGATGAGGTGCAAAGGTTGGATTATTCATGAATAAGGAAAATGTGGGACTATTGTAAGAAGACCGCTTAAAGGTTGGATTATTAGTTTCCATTTTTCCAAAAGGATAAAACGAATAACATAAAGATAAATAAATACTCCCTCTGTCCCGAAAAGGTTGGCCAAAGTTGACTTTCACGTGGATTAATATAGTAAAAATTGTGTGGTTGAAATTTGTGCAGAGGAGAGAGAATTGACTTTAACCACATATTCCTTACTCTAAATGGAAATGACAAATCTTTTTGGGACATCCAAAAATGGAAATTTGCCAACCTTTTCGTGACGGAGGGAGTATAAGATAACAATAGGATAAGAATATAAGAAAGATAAAAGATTGCAAGATAAAAGAAGAATAAAAAAGCTAGAAGATAAAAATAAGATAGGAACATAAAAAGACAAAGAAGATAAACGATAGAACAAAAAGAGCGAGGAAAAATAGAAAATAGATCAATCGTCCACACGAATGTGCGCCCTCCACTTTGCCCTCTCCAAACCCATACTCTCATCCAACCCAAGAAGACGCATATCAGTTTTGATTCCTCTAATCGAAGTTTGTTTGGGTCTTCCCCTCCCTCTCCTCTCTGTCTCTTCTCCCCACCCCTCAAGTCGTCTAACAGGTGCATCATCTGGTCTTCTACGCACATGCCAAAGCACCGCAAACGAGACTCATGCATCTTATCTTGTCTAGGTGCTACTCCCACCTTTTATCTGATTATCTCATTCCTCAAGCGGTCTTTTCTGGTATGTCCTCACATCCAACACAACATACGCATCTCTGCCACACTCATCTTTTGAATGTGACATTGTTTCACCGCCCAACACTCTACGCCATACATTAATGCAAACCTAATTGTTGTTCGATAAAATTTACCTTTCAGTCTAGTCGGCATACCTCGATTGCATAGAAGTCATGATGCACTCTTCCATTTCATCCACCCAGCTCTGATTCTATGTGATACATCTCCATCTAATTCACCATCCTTCTGAATTATGGAGCTCAAGTAACGAAACATATCACACACTGGTATCTCCTTACCATCAAGAGCAATCCCATTGTTGCTATTACTTCTATCTCCACCAAACTTGCACTCCATATGCTTAGTCTTGCTTCGGCTCAGTCTGAAACCCTCGGTCTCCAAAGTTTGTCGTCATACTTCCAACTTTGCTTTAACATCCGATTGTGTCTCATCAATCAATATAATAGCGTCGGGGCAAACATCATGCACCACGGCATATCTTCTTGAATTGACTTCGTAAGTTCATCCATGACTATAGCAAATAAGAAAGGACTCAAAGCCGAACCTTGGTGCACTCCGATAGTAATAGGAAACTCTGCGGTCCTCCCTACACTAGTACGGACACTCGTAGTACAAGCCTCATACATATCCATGATGATACCGATATACTTACGTGATATACCTTTTCTAGTTAAGTCCCCCCAAAGGACTTCTCAAGGGATCCTATCATATGAATTTTCTAAGTCAATGAAAACCAAATGCAGATCCTTTTTAGTCTCTATACTTTTCCACAACTTGTCAAAGAAGGTGAATGGCCTCCGTTGTTGAGCGTCCAGGCATAAAACCAAACTGATTCTCCGATATTTTCACACTTTTTCGAAGTCTTTGCGCCACCACTCGCTCCCAAAGTTTCATGGTGTGACTCATAAGTTTAATCCCTCGATAATTGGCACATTCTTGTACAATGAATACGGAGTATATATTTGAATGGTTATATAAGTGCACTCACAATTTCAAAATGAAATCCTTATTTTTTTTTTGTTTGTAAAATGAAATCCTTACATTATTTTTGGGTCTTGACCAATCTTTTTTATTGAGTTATCCACAATCTTAAATTCTTCTTTTTTGAGTAAATATTTTTTCTTACAAATAGATTGGAATATTGGATATTAAGAATCAGTATTGTAGATTTATTTTAAACTACATATTTTGCCTAATTGCTACTTCATTATACAGTAAATGGATGCACAATTGAAAAAAATAATAGATACTTTGTATTGCTTTTTTATTATAGTATACTCAATGAAGGGAGATACTAAATTGTGTACTTTAGTAACTACGTAGTATACAAATTCAGATAAACGTTTGAACTCTTTAAACTTACTGATTTGTGGTACTCTAAACCACGAAAAATGATCTACTAAGTTCATGTTCCTTTTTCAAAACACTGTAATCAGTAGCTGATGCAGGAATTCCGGTTGGGAGGATGTTAGTGTAAAAAAATGCATACAAATACATACTCCGTATATATTAAAATTTTGGAGTAAATCTACCAAATTTTTTTGGGGGGCTAGCGCCCCCCCACTCAGCCCCCTATATGTCTGCTGCTGACTGTAATCTTTATAAGGAATGTCAAAATGAGATGGCCACATTTAAACTGTAATGCGGCTTCGTAGAAAGAAAAAAGTAAAACGGGCAAATAAAACTCAGGTACACTCGTTCACTGGTTATACTTTTTGACATAAAGATCTTGTCTTCATACCATCCATTTTTAGTTAATTGAAAATTGAAAATTAAGTTAATTTCGCTAACTGAAAAAGAAAGTTCAACATACTAGTATACTACGTTGGCACTAATATTATAGTCAAATAATTAATATATTTTATCGCAATGAACATAAATGGGAAAAAATTAACTAGTCGTACAAATGGTCTTGCGCTCTGACCTTTTAATCTGCAGGGGTGAAACATTTGACGTGGAGACTTCTGAGTCTTGGACCTTGAACGTTAGTAGGTGTACAACTTCAGACCCTGAAAATGGAGAATCTCCTATCTGTGATCTCTTCAGAGAAGGGAGGCTAAAGGACAAATGTTTGATTCTTTTGAATTTTCTCGAGGAACACTCTGCATATCCTTGAGGAATCAGATAATTATTGCTGTAAAGAAGAAGAAAGTTTCAAATATTGAGCTGTATTTTTTAGGGGGACATTTCAGCATTTATGCATATATGTTTTCAATATCTTGGAAATGGATTTTCTATCTCTCTTGTTGATTTTTTAACTTTTCAATACCATAAAAGTATTTCAGTGGTATGCATTTGCACGATTCTATTGTTGGAACTTGCTCTCCAAGAAACACTTTACTATTATATTATCATAGATTTTCATTTTTTAAAGGTCATGAAGAGGGCTATACCATTTGGAGAGCAAGTGGATATCTCGTCAGATGATTCTGATGTTGATGATGTGAAACCAGATCTTGATATTGACCATGTAATCAACACCAAATTTGTCATTCAGCAACCATTGAATGAATTTTCAGAAGGTATTTTAGTTGTTTTTGTGTTTTGTTGTATTGTTTTGGATACTGCATTATGTTCTTTCTTATTGCATTTATTTGCAGCATAACCTTCAATCAATGCTTGCTTTGGTTTTCATTTGAAGAAAATTGATAAATACATTTTTTCAATTAAATACGGATGGATTATTTTTCTCTTTAGCCATGAGTTTTGTTAGTCTGGAATTCTGTATTATATGGAGGTATACCATTTTAAAGGAGAAAGGTGTCATTTTTTATGAAGGTATGATAAACACTATTGAGCTTTCATTTAATTTTAACTTTGATCATTAAAGTTCATGTCCTTTTAGTTACCGATTTACCATTTCACATATATAGATTTTGGAGGGGCTAATCTCTATTTCGCTGGAAGTTCTAGAGTAACTAGAAGCTCCCCAATTTGTTAGTTGCCATCCAATGTAACTTGTTTTCTAGCAAACACTCACCTGTGACTTGTACACATAATACATATCTAGCAGTTTCCCCGTCTTATTTTAATTGGATGGTTTCATGATAAACCAACTGGCACCAAGAGCATTAACTGGTAATTCCTCATGGTACATTTATGTACTGGCACCAAGAGCACCAACTGGTAATTCTTCACGGTACATTTATGTACTCTATTCCACTTATCCCCGCATTTAAAACACAGACCCCATGTACTTCTGTCTTGTAGTTCAGCCTGGTATAACTGTTGACCACTCAGTCTGTTCTTGTTTGCCTGGGTTGCTTCATTTATGCCTTTGCTTTCAACTTTTTCATCTGGTAGGACTCGAGTTGTCTGGCTGTTGTTTTTATTTCCTTCAATCCAGGGTATATATCTGGAATTAGTTCCCCAACGTTCTTAACCTTAGTGCTGCATTTTTTTCTTCCAGTAAAAGTGCCCGGTCCACGAGCTCGGGTCAGTCTCTGAGTTGGGTATAATTTGAGTTCAGCTTTGATTTCAGCCTTCAGGCCATTCAAGAAAATACCTTTAAGCATTTCATTGTCAGTAGTTCTGTTGGGGGCTACTACCAGAGTACCAGATTAAATTTGTCCCAAAACTCTATAACTCACGCTGTCTGTTTCATGCTAAGCATGGGACAAAAAAGCGTTTATTAAGTTAAACGCATATATATGCTAGACTAAACTACTTATACATATATATATATGTATATACTTGCACGCATATTGTGTAGAACTTTCATGGAGAGAATAGAACTTTGAACCGTTCTTTTTTTCTATATTAGATTTCTAGCAACTTTTATCAAATAGCTACAAACTTTTTCTTTAATTTTTTTTTTTGAGTCAAAGCTATTAGTTACTACAAAGCTAAAAAATTATCTTTCTAGGTCTTAGTGCCAAACATGCACTTAAGCTATACGGGTACATACACTTAAGCTACAAACTGGTACATACATGGAAATCTTTATAGCACTTGGTGGATGTTTGGCTGCTTTAAGTTCCTGAGTTTTAGCTATACTGGTACATACATGGAAATCTTTATAGCACTTGGTGCATGTTTGGCTGGTTTAAGTTCCTGAGTTGTAGCTAGCTTTTACACTTTTTAGTCTCTAAACCCCCCTAACAAAGTATAGACTGATTACTAATTGATACAGATTAGTAATATGAAAAGCAACCTTCCCCCTCCAAAACCCCCTATAAAAGTACCAGACACTCCTTTAATTCAATGATGCACAAATGTTTATATGGTAGCGCATGAATCTAAATTATCTTTGTGGTGTATGCAGATGAGCTGATAAGAACTTCCCAAATGTACCAAGAATACATGCAGAAGCTACCAGTCCCTTCACACCATGGCTCCGTGATCCCGTTCACATCATGGATGGGATTAGCTGCATCCCTTAAGAGGCTTTACGGTCAGCCGCTGCATTACTTGACCAACATTCAGATGAAGCAATGGGACCAAGTTAGGATCGGAACCCATGACGAAGATGTCCCATTGGATACCATAGTCCATCCCTGTAAAGCTGAAGCCACCATCTGGGCTATTGAAGAGGTTAATAGATGTACCTGTTCACATCTCTATTTGGCTAAACTCTGGCAAACCAATCCGCGGCATCACACTTTTATTGACCCGATTGTTCCAAAGCTTCAAACTTTGTCAAAGTAGTAGGCAGTTCTATTCCAGGCTCTAGTAAGCTTTGAGTTGCTACATTACGGAAAACTACTTTAAATGAATTTCCCTAGTTTATGTTTATTTGTGTATGTAGGTTATACTACTATGCACCGTATGTGAGCAGTGATGCATATAAGTAATACTCCGGTAACTTTGTATTTATTATCTGAATATCTGGCAATCTGGGATAATTAGCCCATTTAATATGAGCATTCAAAAAACATCCCAAAAATATTTTAGTTTAATAATACATAATAAGAGTTTCATAACATCTAGCTGTAACAGTTAACAACCACACTAGAATTAAAATAAGAGTTAATTCTTTCAATAGGAGTAAAACACATTCCATGTTCCACAATAGGGGCATATGGTTTAAATTTTCAAAGTATGAGTCTCAATCTCTATTGTACCGTTCATCACATTTTAATAACAAAACACTTATTCTATTTTATATACAAAAAAAATCAAGTCACCACTGGTCCACTGGGTTCTAATGACGCCGATCTTTGACAACCAAATTTCGTTAACATTGCCCACAGAATCATGCTGTATATTACCTCTGTCTATGTTTGAGAGAAAGGAAAAGGAACCATGAGTTTGAGAGGACAAATATGCCCAAGATTAGTGCACAAAGCTTCCGAATAACCGGTGGAGCTTCCTTTAATAAATGTGTCATATATCAACATAGATATATATAAAACACCATTTTTGAATTATAAAATACCAAGTGACAAATATTACAACATTAGAAATCGTATTCACATTTTTTGCACGCTCATTGATTAAAACCATACTAACCACACAATGAAGGGAGGAAATTCTCGGAGACACCGTGAAGTACATACTTTAGTAATTTAGATAAGGTAAAATGGCAAAATGTTTAGTTTAGAAAGAATTTACAAGCTTTTTTCTATATATTACTTACGAAAACTCTCTCATATGGATGTTTTAATTGGACTAGAAGTTTTTAGTTTAGTCTGATCCTTAAAAATCTAGTTATTTTGATACTGATCAGGTTATCTTAGTAAAAATGAGAAGAAAGATGACGAGAACAAGTATGAAGGATTTAGCAGAAAGTTAAGAGAAGGGAGAGAATAGGGAAGAAGATATTATTTATTTTCATAATCCGTTCACAAGCATACCAGCTGCTATATAAGCTATTCGGATTATTGTTGAAAGCTAGCTACTTTAACTAACTCGTAACTAACAATTCTACACATCACCCGTTAATAGCTTTATGTACAACTGTTGGGTGTCGATTTCTTTCCGGCTCAGGTCTCCAACCCTTTTGCTATACTCTCACACACCACCCTAGGCTAGACCACAACACAACTCCAAGCTTCTTCTCTACCACTAAGGTATTCTCTCTCACACTCTCACACAAAGGAAATGGAGAAGAAGAAGAAGGGCACTGCTCTCTCTAAGATTCACGCAGGCTGCTTCAACAAGGGAGAAGTAAAGCTACTAAATAATAGGCTGGTAGACACAAGGACACTCACATGTGATGCAAAGACAAGGAGGGCAGCATAGGACAGCTCAAAGGGGTCACTCCACATAAGTCAAAATGGCCATATTATTGATTAGGAGAGATTCAAAACAAGAGGTGCCAAAGTGGGAGTAAACATGGGGTGCAAGTCAATAATAAAGTGGAAGGGAGGCCTTGGCAGGACCAATACCTCCAACATTCTCCACCTTATTGGTCCTATGTGGTGTAGAGTAGCAATACAAAGTTGTGAGGAGACTCATCATCGCCGGATTATTACAAGTACATCATTGCGATCATACAAGTAATAGATGAGAACCAAAGTTCCCTTTCGGACCAAGCTTACCGTGCAAACCCACTTCACGATGGACTGAACTCTACCAATCGGTCCTCGAGTTCAGAACCAAAACCATCACAAAACTATTAACAAGCACAACACATGTTAATAGACCACACAAGCAAGCATTCGGGAGAAGTTGGGGATTCCAACTAATCCAACAACAACACAAAGCAAGTATAAAGAAAATAAAAGAAACAATATTATTTCTATCACTAGCACAGGCGGAGCTCACATAATCACATGGTATCACATTTTCAAAACACAAAGAAAATAGCATACCAAATATCACAAAGATTTTAATTAAAAGAGAATTAAGCACATTTAAAGCAGACTCAGTGGAAATATAGTCAAACACATTGCACATATTATTTCTCTCATGCTTCCTAATGTCTCTATCTCTAATAACATGGCAATCACGCAACTCAAGCATATTGCACACAACATTCATATCATGCTCCACCTTAATAGAAATATTATTTTCTTTATTTTCATCATGAAAAACATTTTCATCCACAAATTTGGGTTCGGTTTCAACAAGTAAATCAGAATGAACATCAGGCAAATGCTCCACCTCATTTGGAGCAACATCAGGAGAAACAAGCAGGCAAGGAAATTCATTTTCAACAAAAATGACATTTCTACTCATCAACACATTGAAGCAAGTTTCACTCCTACACCAAAGCCTATAACCTTTCATGCAATCATGATATCCTAAGAAAACATATTCCTTAGTCCTAGGTTCAGATTTATCATTCACACGATTCACATAAGCAGCACAACCAAACACTCTCAAATTTGGCAAGTCAAGCGGTTTGCCCATGAACACAGATTCAGGGCATTTTCCTCCTAAGGGAACAGACGGGGACAGATTAACCAAATCAACAGCATAACAAATAGCTTCCCCCCAGAACTTATTAGAGAGCCCAGATGAAGCTAACATAGCCCTCACCCTCTCTAATAAAGTTCTAACCATCCTCTCAGCAACCCCATCCGGTTGGGGTGTGGAGGGAACAGATTTATGCATAGAAATACCCCAAGTATCACATAAATCACCAAGCTGACTATCACAGAAATCAAAACTGACAGTGGTCCTTAAAAAATTAATTTTCTTACCGGTTTGTTTTTCAACAAGGGTTTTCCAGTTTTTAAACTTATCAAAAACTTCAGATTTATTCTCAATCAACAGAACCCACACTTTCTTTGAAAAATCATCAATCAGTGTCAGAAAATAATTTTTCCCACCATGAGTGGAAACACCATAAGGACCCCACAAGTCAGCATGAATACAATCAAGCACATTAGTACATTTAGGCAGATCAGGAAAACCAACTCTAGACTGTTTTCCTAGCACACAGGGTTGCACACAATTCACAGAATCAAGTAGGGGTTCAGCATGACAAACATACAAGTTGTTTTTCATCTCAGCTTTGAAAACAACTAAGCAACCCTTCACAACTTTCATGATTCCCTTTCCCCATTTTCCCTTCAAACCCTCATTTTCAAGAGAAGCACAAGATAGCAAATTACAACATAGCTCAGGAACATGCCTAACATTCTTCAAAGTAAGCACATAACCAGAAGAAAACCTAAGGCATACATCTCCTATTCCTAGCACATTGCATTTCTTCTTATTTGCTAAAGACACAAAGCCATGCTTAATCTCTCTATAGTTTGAAAAAACATTTTTCAAAGGGGACATGTGAAAACTACAACCAGAATCTACCACCCAATCTGATTTAACCAAAGAATCAGATATCACAGAACTCAAGTAGTCAAAATCACATAGATTTTTCATCATAAAAACATCACCTAAATCATCTACACACGTAGCCAAATTAGCATGCTCACTATGCTCATTTTTCCTAGATTTAGGACAGTCTCTTATGAAATGACCAGGTTCATGACAATAATAGCAACGCCTCGAATTAGACCTAGACTTAGATCTATGTCGTCTACTATTATTTTCTCTACCCCTCACATGCATAACTTCCTCGGATTTTCTACCCTCACCCATCTGTTTTAAATCTAATTCCTTACTCTTAAGACCATTTACCACAATGTCAAGAGTCACATTATCTCTACCATACTTAATAGCAGATTTCACATCACTAAAGGAATCAGGAATAGCATTTAAAAGAGCAATAGGGGAATAATCATCTATATGTTTATCACCACACAACTTAATATCTGAAATAAGTTTGGTAAAAACATCTAGATTTTCTTCAATATCTATAGACATATCTAGTCTAAATTTGAAGAATTTCTCAAGTAAAAATATCTGGTTAGGCAAAGAGGTCTCAGTATACAGTTCATTTAATTTATTCCAAAGAATTTTAGCACTCTCTAAAATTCCAACTTTTCTAATCACAGAGTCAGATAAGTTCAAATAAATCACAGAACATGCATTTTCATTCATTTCAGCCCTTTTCTCTTCTGTGTCAGAAATTAAATAGGTTTCGCCAACTGCTTTAAAACATTTTTGTTGTATTAAAATACATTTAATTTTTTGCTTCCAAATGCTAAAATCAGATTTTCCATTAAATGGAGCCATACCATACTGATTATAAGCAGACATTTTCACAGAGAAAAACAAGCAACAAAATAAAATGTAAATTTAGCTGAAAAACAATTTAAATATTTATAAGGCTACAACTATACGGAGCAACTAGCACGAACACGTGAGGAGTATTAATGAGCACCAAACTCAACTTCAAACCCCTTGTTCTTCCGTATAAGCACAAATAAATAATAAATTTTCAGCACAACACAATACAACAATTCAAACAATTTTAACAGCAATAATAAACCTAAAAAATAATTTCTACACAATAAAAGATCAAAATCACTACAAAAGCGATAAAAGGGATAAAAGTAAATATACCGGAGCGAAACCCTAGGAGAGGCGTTTCGACCTTACCCACCCAATTTAAAAAAATTGGGATTTTTTTTTTTGGACTGTTGACTGAAAGTTGGCTGATTTTGACCAAGTCTACCAAGAGGCAAAAGGCAAGAGCTCCTCTTTTCTGCGCCAGCAACTTCACGTGAAGTCACCTACAGTACCTCAAAGTCCAGCCTCCAGGTCCAAGCTCCTGATTCTGCGTGATGTCTACGTCCAGCTTCAGCAATCCATCAGCCCAAACAGCCCAACGAAGCCCAGAAGTCCAAATAGCCAAAGGTTTCACCTTCAACAGTCCAGCGGACCAAAAGAGCGTAACGAAGCTCTTTGTCCCTGCCCCCTGCGCGAGAAAGCTCTTCGTTCCTCTGCTTTCTGCGACCAGCGACGACCGACGAGGACCCAAGCGACCGGCGGCTCCGGCGGCTGACTACGGCGAGCAAATTTCTGCGGCGGCGAGCTTCCAGCGTCAATGGCGGATTCAGCAGGTACATCAACGACCACGAGATTGGCAGCGTCCAATTTTTTCGGCGACGAAATCCAGGTGGACG